AATATACAAATAGATGCCTTTTATTCTGCTGTGAATCAAAATGATGCCACGTCCTGTAATTAAGGATGTTATTGACCAGGTTGAAAGGGAGCCAACCTTGTCCTGCTCCTGTTACTATGGCAGTCATGTCGAAGTTCAGCATCTTAAGGCTGATGATCACCTTATTTGGCCAATTTTCAGGAGTTCTATTTCCAGATTTATTTCGAGACAACAGAATTTTCAGTAAGTCTTTACCTTAAATTAGGAGTCATATTAATTTCAGGAGGCCAGATACTCTAGGCAGATGATTTGCATACTCTAGGCAGATTAATTGTATAAGCAAAAATAAAATAGAGAGTAATAGCTGTCAAAAACTAAATTTTAACATAGCAACTTGAGCTAAACTGTCATTGAGTCAAAGAGTTTTTTAAAAGTTGTCACACGCAAATACATGTAATTTATAATGGCTTCTTATTTCTTTCCTGAAGAAATCCATATCTAATCATTAGTCTTTCTAATTATTAACTTCTCAAACTGACCAGGGAACTTACTCCTGGGGGTTCTACACGGGGGCAGGATAAAACAGTCTGCTGAAACTGCCCAGGGAGAGGAGCAGAGCACTGGCACATTTGGAGCAGTAACATACATGCTTCTGACACCAGCGGCTCTGCTCTCATAGACACAAAGAAGGCAGCATGCTACACCCTGCGGCAAAGAGCCTGCGTGCAGTCTTCTCCTTGGGATTTCAGAAGGGGAGCCCTGCCCAATTTTCCCAGCTGCAGGAAAGAAGAAATCACCCTAAATGCTGAGATAATGCCTGAACTTGCAATGCCTTCTGTCCTGCCTTCCAGTCCACCCCCATCAAATTCTACCTTTGTTTTAGGCCATGACTCATGACCTACCCCTCAGTCATCTGTGACTCATAGCAGAGGCCAGATAAACCCAACACTGCACAGCAGGGGTGGGAGAGCTGCAGTGCTTTTTCCTTTCTTATTATTTTTTTGCCTAGTGAGAAAAGTTGGGTCAAATGGTCAAGTGGTGGGAATCTTCTCTGTAGGCCTTTCCCCCCTCAATTCCTTTGCCTTTAATTTGGGGGGAATTCCTGCATTGGGTTGGAGATTTAGCTGAGTATTCTCTTTCGTGGTGACTCAATGTTACTGTGGTTCATGTTTTTACTATAGGGAAAAAAATCTAACCTTCATTGATTGAAGCAAGATCTCCTATTTATATTTTCTTCTTCTATTCCTGTGTATTCTTGCTGTTTTGAAAACTTCTTCGCAGCTGCTCCCATGAAGGTGAGAATTCTTTCCCCACTTCTTAAAACTGGGTTTGGATATGTGGCTTGCTTTGGCCAACAGAATTTTGCACAAGTGATGCAGGGCGAAGGCCTTAAGAGGTCATGCATTCCCCTGCTCCCCCTATGGCTCCTCTGTTTTTCTGTGATAACAGCCTCAGGCTGGCCAATTGGAAGATGTCAGCCACGTGCAGCAGAGCCAGGTCACCTAGGCATAGGCCATACCAGACTGCAACTAATCCACCCATTGACTACAGAGCAATGAAACCTGCTAACCCTGGTCCAACTGCACAACTGCTCCAATACTCAGCTGAGCCGTAGCTTCATGGACAATCAAAAACAAAAAACAAGTTACAGCTTTTAAGCATCTAATACTTGTGGTAATAATTAATACTACCTTTCTGCATTTTAACTCAACTGTGTTGTAGCTTAAACAACAGAAATTTAGTTTCTCATGGCTCTGGAGGGCAGACGTCCAAAATGCCAAGGTGTTGGCAGGGCTGGTCTCGTCAGGACCTCTGTCCTTGCTGTGAGGATGACCATTGTTGCCCTGTGTCTTCACATGGCCTTCCCTCTGTGTCCAGTCTTCCTGGGCAGGTCCCACTCTAATGGCCTCATTTGAATGTAGTTACTGATTAAAAGACCGTATCTCCAAACACTGTCACATTTTGAGGTACTGGGGAGGAGGACCTCAACACATGAATTTTGGAAGGCATAATTCAGTTCCTAAGAACAATTTATGCATTGCCTGTTGTCACATTCCTAAAATACAAATGTGATTATATTACTACCTTGCTCCAACTCTTTCTATGGATCTGAATTGTATGTACGAATATAATAAAGTTTCATTATTCTTCACTCTTGCTTCCTCTCATGCCACCATCATCTTAACCCAATATATAAAGCTATCACAAACTTGTTTCTTCCATATCTCTATGACCCATACGTATCTGCTACACACAGAGATCTAACGTCTTGCCTCTCATCCAATCCTTCCCCAGGTGTAGAATGGCTTTTCCCACAGTAATGTTTGTCAAAATCTCTCTCAATTCCTATAACCTCCAGAAATTCTTCCAATGTAGTATGCCAAGCAGCGGTAATCCTTTTCAAGTACCCCAGCATCATATAGCACCATTGTTACTGAACTTCTAAAACAATACTTCTGAAACCATTTTGCTTATCAATATTTCTGAAATGAATAAGCATGTGGATTCTTGCCATGAATTCAGAAAAGAATTCTGAATACTGTCTCTAATAAACCAGATGGCATGGTAAATTTTAAGGATTTTATTCAGTGAGAGAAATGCATAGGGGAGTGAGGGCTCTATCTAATAGAGAAGGGGAACTCTAGATCTATACCAAGAGGAGAGCAAGCCAGGAGCCACGTGCAGCAAATGTTTGGTTATGAGTGGCAACAAGCAGCTTAGCACGGGTAGCAAAGCAGAGAACAAAGAGAGCGAGTTGCCCCTGAAGGCACGGAGCAACAAACAAGGACAACAAAGAGTAATAAGGGTGAAGAAGGGAAAAAAAGAGCTGGGCCTACCATGTTCCAGGCCTTTTAACCACTTCCAAAGGGGCGTGGTTACATCATCTGATGGGCAGGTGAGCATACAGTTGGGGTCAGGTAGGGGGATGAGATCACACAGGGGTGTGGTGAAGGCGTGGTCTCCCAGCTCACAAACCTAATCAATGCTATCCTATCTGCCTGCCTACATCGCTTCTGTATATGTGGTAAAGACCACTCTGATTTCCCTATTACCTTTTCCTGACATACAGCTTCCCTTGCAGCTAAGTGGGGACATGTGACTGGCGTTTTGGCCAGCATGCTATTAATGTATGACAAATCTCCAATGTGTCGTTAGCCCGTCAACTCCTCATTAGCTCTCAGAAGTATTTCGTGCCTTTCTCCTGTTCTGATATATATTGTGTGAATCATTTCCAAAGCTCCCTTCTTTCTGGATTCAGGATAGTTTCAGCCAAAGGAGAAACTAACTGAAAAGTGCAAGATGGGAAAAAAGTGGGCGCCAAGATATTTATCTTTTTCTGCTTCCTCTGATATCGCTGTGAGGAGTCACAGATCCTCCATGGCTCAGGGTCAACTGGACAAGATCCTATTATGAATTTGCTCCTGTTGGGTACTCCAGGCTTCTAGACTTTAGTAAAAATACCACATCTCTCATTGTGACCTAAGCCCTGGGGTGAAAGCGACATCCCGGTGTTGCTCAGATTGGGTGATTTCTCTGGCCATTGTTTGACATCTATGGCAACACAAACCATGAGACTTGCCTGAAACAGGCATTCAGAGAGCAACCAAGCTAGAACACACAAAATTAACTGAGGACATAGTATGTAACAGAAACCATCTGAATACACCCATGTGCGTGGGGTGACTTCCCTGCCCCAGTGTCTCGTCGTCTGCCTGGGCCCCGTTTCATCCCCCTCCCGCTCTGGCCCTCTGGAGTCTATGTTGCTGCCCCTGTGTTTGCCCTTCAGCCCTTCCTCAGCAGACTTCACATGATTGACTTCACCACGTTTTCTTTGCCTGCCCCGTTTTGTGAGAGCTCTCCCACCTCCCTGGATTCCACATCCACCTTTCTGCAAGGAGGATACTCTTGGGCATCTCTACCTGTTATCTTCCTCTTGAATTTCCATCTCATTTCCCCAGTTCATCCTGGGTCCCTCCTGCAAGCTGTTCACAGGATGAGTGCCAGTGCAGAAAAAAGAGGTCTGGTTTCCGTTTCCCAACTGTGGTACGTCAGGGCCCTAGGTGCTCCTGTAAGAGACCTAAAAGTTAACAAAACCTAGTGCTCAGATGGATAAGGAACACTTGTTATCAGTCTCCAACACTGAGTATTTTTTGCCATATTGAAATGGAAATCTATACATACACTTATTTAAAATAGTTAGTTTTGAGGCTCTTCCTCAGAACTCCTGTCTTAGGGGATCTGGGGGAGGTTCTTAGGACTTATCTTTTAGATTCTACAGGGGATTTCAGCAGGGATCTAAGCAAACCTCCATCAGGATGAAACCTCTTCTGCCTCTAGAAGATAAAGGACCCAGTGGTGGTAGGGCCAGGCCTCAAAATTTTTCAGTGCACAGTAGAGAGAAGGGCTACCCCTCCCAAAGCAGCAGGAGGAAGGAATGAGATGGAAGATTGACTGTGGTGATGGCCCTCATTTATTAATGCATCCTTGGATCAGTGCTGTTTGTAGTTCCCTCCTGAATTGATACTAGGCTTCCCTATGTGACTTGCTCTGGTCAATGAAACTTTATATTAATATAACATGTAAGATTATATTATGCAATACTATATAATAGTGTAATATTTAATATCACTCATAATATTAAATTAAATATATCTATGTATATATACATGTATATACAGGCACACACACGCACTAAGAAGTTTTAATATTGTTTTGGATAAAGAAGAAAGTGGATGAACATTAGGATGTCAATTTCTGAGTTCCTCTAGTTTTATACTATTAAGTTAATTCATCCATTCAATCATCTGTCTATTCAATCATCCATTAGACATTTACCAAGTAGCAACTACATGCTGTCTCCATTATAGGCCCTTGAGATAATAGTGCTCCAAGGAATAGTTTGGTGGATGTCCTTCTCTTCCTTTGCTAAGTCATTTAACTTTAATACAATATGTTGATATTTTGTTGGGGCCTGAAATATCCAGATGTACTATAACAAATATGGCTTTGCTGCATTTCAGGTGGATGCAGAGTTCTAGATTTTACAGCAACTCTAGACTCTTGCACTGGTGTAAGACTTAGTACCCACACACTTCGATTTAAGGAATAATTGGTAAGCTTCCTACCTCGGCTGACTCTGCCTCCCATACCTCTTTCAATTGATAACTTATGGCATGAAATACAGATAAATGAATATGTATATATATATTTATATTTGAATATGTATATATATTTTACTCAAGTTTTGAGAGCTTCTAAATTATGCCTGCCACCCAGCTTTTGTTAGTGGTTTACGTTTTTACAACCTTGCTTTCCCTGCCACATCCCCTACTCTTCATCTTACCCAGAATGGATTCCTGTCCTTTCCTACTGGAGGAACACACACACGCACACATACACACAAGTATATAAAACTCTAAACTAGGACCCAGAAGACATCAGATATAGGAGGAGAACCCCAGGGAACAGGATGCTTAATTGAGGGGTGCTGTGTTCTGGAGGAAGGAAAGAATGAGGAATGGTTTGTACGATGGTTATTGCCAAGTAACCCACTAGCCAGCAGGCTGTGAAGCAAAGTGCTGGTATGGATGTTTTCCATTTCCCTCCCAGATCTCCTCTGTGCCACTTGTTACCCCGCCCCGTGCCCAGGGGAGCCCAATGGGCAATGCTAATGGGTTTTGTCCTCATTTAGGCTCCAATGCAAGCAGATCCTGAGGTAAGGATTATGGTATAAATAATTTATTGGGGAGGATATCTCAGGAGGCATCAATAGAGGAGCAAGGAAGTAAGCTAGGGAAGGGATTGTGTCCATTAATGGGTGTGCTATCCAGCGGGTCCCATGTGTGCCGCATTTGCTGGATCCTTGTGGCGCTCTGGGAGATGGCACAGGGTGAGAAGCTGGGAATTTGTTCACTAACTTGTTCTTGGTTAAGAGCTGCTGTTGTGCACATCAGTTCTCCAGCCAAACAAGCTCCCCAGGTAGACAAAACCCTGAGGCCAAATGTCTGAAGTCACTGGAGTGCCAAAGGCTGCCACTTGGTCAGGATAATGGTAGCACCAGTGAGAGGCACAGAGCAGAGGGAGAGTGAAGTTCAGGTATTAATTTTCAGGGCAGCAACCCTGCCACAGCCTCACCTTCCCACTTGGTCCTGTTTGGCTCTGTCTCATGACATTACCCACAGCTGTGTCAGGATGTCTCTCTTCCTACCACCCCCTCTCTGGTTTTCAGTAACTACTCTGACTTTTCCCCTTCTAGGCTCCAGGTTGTCACAACCTTGGGATACTGCACAATCTCTTCTTGCCTTTTCTTTTCTCCTTCTCTCTTTCTCTCTTTTTTAAGATTTTATGAATTTACTTGAGAGGCAGAGTTACAGACAGAGAGGGAGAGACAGAGAGAGGTCTTCCATTTGCTAATTCACTCCCCAGGTAGCTGCAACAGCCGGAGCTGTGCCAATCCAAAGCCAGGAGCCAGGAGCTTCTTACTGGTCTCCTACGTGGGTGCAGGGGCCCAAGGACTTGGGCCATCTTCTACTGCTTTCCCAGGCCACAACAGAGAGCTGGATCAGAAATGGAGCAGCTGGGACTTGAACCGGTGCCCATATGGGATGCCAGCACTGCAGGCAGAAGCTTAGCCTACTAGGCCACAGTGCTCGGCCCCCTTTCTTGCTTTTCTAAATTATGCCTGCACTGGCCGGCGCCGCGGCTCACTAGGCTAATCCTCCGCCTAGCGGCGCCGGCACACCGGGTTCTAGTCCCGGTTGGGGCGCCGGATTCTGTCCCGGTTGCCCCTCTTCCAGGCCAGCCCTCTGCTGTGGCCAGGGAGTGCAGTGGAGGATGGCCCAGGTGCTTGGGCCCTGCACCCCATGGGAGACCAGGAAAAGCACCTGGCTCCTGGCTCCTGCCATCGGATCAGCGCGGTGCGCCGGCCGCAGCGCGCCGGCCGCGGCGGCCATTGGAGGGTGAACCAACGGCAAAGGAAGACCTTTCTCTCTGTCTCTCTCTCTCACTGTCCACTCTGCCTGTCAAAAAAAAAAAAAAAAAAAAAAAAAAAAAAAAAAAAAATTATGCCTGCACTTTTGTAAAAAATCCCTCCACTAAACATTCCTCTATTATACTGTTAAAACCTATCCGTTGTCTCTGGTTTGATATCAGCTATACCTTTGTATCTGGGTAGTCTCATTAACACCTCACAACTACCCAATTAATGTTATTTGTCTTCCTTTGTAAGGTTCAAAGACCTGAGAAGTTGCCTTAAGCCATGTGGTGAGGAAGAAAATGAATCAAAATCAAAACCCAACTTCTCTGCCTGCAAGCCCTCCTTTGAAAATGATGCAATCCAGTCTTATTACTGATAAAGTGCTATTATTAATACTCTGTTCCTGGCTCAACTCTCAGCTCTGTGGCCCATTGTCCAGCACTCAGCCAGTACCCTGGCAGGCACTGGGACCATTTGATGCAGAGGAATGCTGAGCAGCATGCGGCCAGGCAGCCTCAGCTGGCCAGGTGACGCCTAGCCAGATGGTCACCCCCTCCCCCCGGAGCCACTATTGAAAATCTGAAAGAGACAAAATGCCTGTGGAATCCTCCAAGAGGGACCAGATGCTGCTTGGGGAAAACCTGTCCACATTGACTCATCAGGGGACGTGTGGAGCAGGAGAAACTTGAATGATGAATAAAACAAGAAACAGAGAAGAGCCCTGACTCAATTAGAATGAAATCAATGCCTAGCACCTCGTGTTTTCCCATTTGTGGCTATCAAATGACCTCTATCAAAAAATACGTATTAAAAGCAGACCCAGAAATAAATTCCCCACACCTACCTTTCAGAATTGCACAAATTTGTATAGAGAAAAAGAAGCAGGGGAAGTCTTCCTGCTTGTTGCAGCACCTGGTGTGTGTTTTTCCTTTCCACTGCTAGTTTTTCTGTTGGCAAATAAGTCGTGTGCGCTATTGGAGCGTATCCCCCAGGCCTTAAGATGCGGCACTGGGTCTTGTGGGATGGAGGCCTATCAAATCGGGCTGGAGCATGGTTTTGTCTGATGTGACCCTGGGAGCCCGAAGGGATCTGTGAACAGACAGCAGCCTGCGGGAGTGCCTCCGCCTCCTTTTGTCCCTCCAGCTCCCCAGTGCAGCAGCTGATCTGGTTATTATGCTCCTCAAAAGAATTTCTAGGTGGCCACAGCCACCGTAAGGAACCTAGAAACCCACGAGGGCTGAAAGCCGGGAAGAACAACACATTGGCCCCTTGAGTGTTAATCTCACCCGTAATTAGAGCTTTGTGGTGCTCATAGAAAGCCAAACTAAGGCAGAGAGGAGCCGGCTGAGGTCTGTAGCCCACCATTTTACCAAATGTGCTGTCATTAGCACAAGTGTCCTACTTGGTGGGACTGATATTTTAGAAAGAAAGGCAGAGTAGATTTAGAGCAAAATCCAACTGCATTTAAGATTGAATTTAAATTATCTTAGTTTTCTGTTTTTCTTCCCTACCCCATTTTTAGAGATATATGCATTTTAATAGAAATTTATTCTGCTTGGGTCTGATTTGTTTACCTTAGCCTTATCAAAATGTTTTGTAAGAGTGATTTCACGTCAACAAAATTTGCATAACTTTCTCTTGGGCTATTCTCACACTAATGACTGATGTTTGGGCCTGGAATTAACAAGTGTGCCTCTGCTGAGACTTGCCATGGCATCAGCTGGGGCAATTGCTCTCTATTCTGCACTCCCCAACCATATCCCCCTCCCAGCCATCTCAGGACATCCAGGCAATAAAGATGACTGACCTCTCTGCCCATCCTCTGAATCTAACTTGCAAGGGTTCCAAACCTCCAACTCTGGCTTACCACCTTCTATTTTAATTTGTTACATGGCTACCTGTTGGCAGAGGGGAGAAAAAATGAATACTTGGTCACAAAATGGGTAATCATGCTTAATTATTGGTGAAAATAATTAATTTAATGTTGAAAAAAAGATGGTAACCTTAACTTACTTTTGGAAGTGGTATGAATCCATTTAATCTATTTAAATGCATGTGTTGCAATTAAATTGTGAGGGAGAGGAATATAATATATGGATTGATATAACACTTCAGACTTCGTTTTTCAAATATATTATCTTGTTTGACTATCCTAAAAATATTATAAGATAGATAATAAAGTTGTGTTTTCTTAATTCCCTTTTATCTGTAAGGAGACTGAGGGCCAGATTTTTACAGCCACACAAAATTCCCGGGATCCTATCCTGGATTTTTACTATCTTACTTGTGCTTATTTACCAGGTGGGAGTGCAGGGTTTTCATTTAGAGACCTGCTTGTCCAGGTCCAGAAAGGTTTGCTCCTGTCTGAATAGGCAGCTAACCAGAGGGTGGGGCAATTCTGAATGCTAATTGCCTTGGTGAAACTCCTGCTTCCATGGAATAAGGGTAAATAAAAACATGGAGTGAAATGCCATCAGTGATCCAGCAGGATCTTCCTAAGGACAGAATTGTTGAAAATTCCTTTCTGGGCTGGGAGAAACAAGGAAAACATGTAAATTATGGCCTCCTTAAAACACCATAGCATTGGGGGCAGCACTGTGGCTCAGCGCGTTAATGCCCTGGCCTGAAGAGCTAGCATCCCATGTGGGAGCCGGTTCTAGTCCCAGCTGCTCCTCTTCCGATCCAGCTCTCTGCTGTGGCCTGGGATAGCAGGAGAAAATGGTCCAAGTCCTTGGGCCCCTGCACCTGCATGGGAGGCCTGGAAGAAGCTCCTGGTTCCTGGCTTCGGATCGGCACAGCTCTGGCCGTTGCAGCCATCTGGAGGGTGAACCAGCGGATGGAAGACCTCTCTCTGTCTCCCCTCTCTGTGTAACTCTAACTTTTGAATAAATAAACAAATCTTAAAAAAAAAACAACAACAACGTAGCATCAACTTGAATTAATCTCTCAAACACATACTGCAAACACAGCAAAGCTGGCCGGGGGACGCATGGGCAGGAGTTCTCTTTCTAATATAGTTTTGGCCCAGATAGAAGTAAATATAAGACTGTTATTTGGAAGGATTTGGGATAGAGGGACTGTACATTTTAATTGAAATTTCTTAGCTTAGAGAAGATGTAAAATGCTACTAGCTGGCAGAGTCAGGTTATGTTGGGAATAAATTTTGAGGACTTACTCTGTTTCCTTCTAGCTGAGAACAAATTGGTGTTTTAACAGGAAATCGCTCTGCATTAGAAATCGCGTATAAGTCTCCCATTAACATACTACCCATAATTAAAGAAATGTTGAATAAGATACATTCTTACATTTGCTTGCTCCTGTAGAAAGGCAAAAGATTTGTGCGCATTTAAATTTGATTTCACGGGATCTGTAAAATGACAGAGTATTAGGAGGGATTAGCCTAATTAAGCCAGATTGTGAGAAGGCCTTAAAGAGATCCAAAGCGCAGATATCTTTCAAGTGGGATCCCAGTGAGGGCTCCCAGGATCTAGGTTGCCTCTTTCCCAGGATCTCAGAGCTCAGACACACAGGAGCACGCTCGTGTATGCAGTGACATCTAGTGACAAAGAAAATAAAGCCAGCTCCAAGAACACTTTCCTCAGCCCACTCTACCAAATGTTCTGGTTGCCCTCATCACCATGGCTTTTAGCACAGTGCATGCCATAGAAACATATATACAGCAGTTTCTACAGTAAATCACGTTCCTAGAGGGCAAGAAAACAACTGGCAGCAGTGTCCAGCTATCTGCCCTGGCTTCAGACTGCAAACGGGCAAACAAAACAGATTTCTCTCTCCCCTGTTTGCCTACCGTGAAACTGTGCACTCTGTGGACATGAAGTTAGTGTGGAATATTCTCGAGGACTATTGGCACCTTCCAAGGGAAGACTTTATCATATGTTTCCTGAAATTTATATTCCAGAGTTTAGAATCTATCTATCTATCTATCTATCTATCTATCTATCTATCTAGGGGCCGGCGCTGTGGCGTAGTGGGTAAAGCCACCGCCTGCAGTGCCTGTTATGCCATCACAAAACACACCAAACACCAGAGTAAGGGAAATGGTTTATTGGGGAAAACCCAGCAGACCAGAGGGAAGGGGTGAAGAGGGAAAAGGAGAGTAAGAAAGAGGAGAGAGGGGGCTGGTGCTGCGGCTCACTAGGCTAATCCTCCGCCTTGCGGCGCCAGCACACCGGGTTCTAGTCCCGGTCGGGGCGCCGGATTCTGTCCTGGTTGCCCCTCTTCCAAGCCAGCTCTCTGCTGTGGCCAGGGAGTGCAGTGGAGGATGCCCCAAGTGCTTGGGCCCTGCACCCCATGGGAGACCAGGAGAAGCACCTGGCTCCTGCCTTCGGATCAGTGTGGTGCGCCAGCCGCGGCGGCCATTGGAGGGTGAACCAACGGCAAAGGAAGACCTTTCTCTCTGTCTCTCTCTCACTGTCTACTCTGCCTGTCGAAAAAAAAAAAAAGAAAAAATACACAGAAATAATGGAGTGAGAGAGGAGAAGAGGAGGCTAGAGAGGAGAGAAGAGAGAGAGAGAGTGAGCAGGAGAGCAGAGAGCAGGAGAGAAGAGCCAAGAGAGCCAGGTGTTCAGGAACAGGCCCTTTTAAAACTTTGCAGGAGGGCGGGTAGGGAAGCAGGAGCATGGAATCCATTAGATGGGGGAGGAGCTTGACACTGGTGGTTGGGCCATGTGGCCACCTGGCGTCCAGCAATGACGGCGGGAGCTAGAGCCTAGGATGGTGTCAGGGTGTAGATCGCGCCATAGATAAAACTGCGCCATTTTCCTGACAGTGCATCCTATATGGGCACCGGTTCAAGTCCCAGATTCTCCACTTCCAATCCAGCTCTCTGCCATGGCCTGGGAAAGAAGTAGAGGACGGCCCAAGTCCTTGGGCCCCTGCACCCATGTGGGAGACCCAGAGGAAGCTCCTGGCTCCTGGCTTCAGATTGGCGCAGCTCCAGCCATTGCGGCCAATTGGGGAATGAACCAGCAGGTGGAAGACCTCTCTTTCTTTCTCTCTCTCTCTTTGCCTCTCCTTCTCTCTCTCTGTAACTCTTTCAAATAAATCAATAAATCTTTTTAAAAAGATAAAAAATAAAAAAGATATATATAAAGTATAAATGTTATATATATGACATATATGTATGTATGTGTATACATACACACACATACACACACACACACTTTACCCTGGCAAGACAAAGATTTAAACAAACCTCAGAGTAATCTTAATCTACCTAAAACCCCTTCTAGATTAACTGGAAAAAGGCCTTGATAAAATATGTCCCCTTTTATTTCATCTAATGTGAGGTGTGGGGAGCAACTCGGACTAGACTAAGTTACTGGAATTAAGACTTATTCTATGCATCTGCTCTCCCACAATATGGTGTTGAGAAGGGAGAAATAGCTTCTACGCAGCTGCCTCCAGTTCAACCAATAAACTGTAGGACCTACTCCTGATTGGAGGAGAGCAGCGTACTCGGCGTGTGGGTAGCAGAGTTGGGATTGGCGGAAGAGGACTATAGAGGAGGAGAGAGACAACATGCACCAGGAACATCTAAGGGGAACATCTAGCTGAAGGAACACCTGTGCAGCCCCCGAGAGAGCCGGCCGGTGGTGTGCCGCTCCCCCACGGAAGTGGGGAATGTGGCAGGGGGAACCACCCTTCCACGGAGGTGGAAGGGACGGTAGCCAACCCGGGAAGAACCAGCAGCAAACCCGGGGGGGGGCCGGCGCAAGAAAAAAAAACCGCGGGGTTTTTTTTTTTTTCTCCAGAAGGGGGGGGGGGGACAGGGGGGGGTTAAAAAAAATTTTCTAATTTTTTTTGAAAAAAAAAACTTGGGGGTTTTTTTTTGGGGCCCGCTTAAGGGGAAAACCCAAAAATTTCTTTCCGCTTCCGGGGGGTTGGGGGGCCCCCCCCCCCCCCCCCCCCCCCCCCCCCCCCGCCCCAAGCCCCTTCTCCACCTTGTTTTACCCTTCAGGAAGCAGTAGTGGTACCTCTCACTCACCTGGAGGCCTTGCAAATTCTCAGGCCCTGCAATGAGGCCCCAGAGGCATCTGAATTTTCAGAAATACCCAGATGATTCTTATGCAATTCTGCTACAGTTTACACTTGCCTGCATGCCCCAAAGGAAAAATACCTCGGGAGACCTGGAGAGCATTCAGCCTTTAGAAAGATATCCACAGTCATACAAGCTGCCTGGGATTCAGTCCCTAAATGTGTAGGCTCATGAATGAGATTAGCCACGTGTTGTTTGAACATTTCTTAAAAGTAATTGAGTAATTGCCAGAATATTCTCAAAGTTGCACAATGGCTGAAAGACTTTCTTTTCTTTAGTCTTCTCCCTCCTCCTGTTCTTCCTCTTCTCTTCCTATTCTTCCTCTTCTTCTTCTTCTCTTTGTTGTTGGTGTGATCATTTCTATCTTTGTTCTCTCTCTCTCAGTTCCTCAATTATTTATTGTGAATGAAATGCTTGCAAATTGAGGAATCCTGGTATGGTAAAAGTCTTTTATTTAGTTACTTATTTACTTTTAAATATTGACTATTTTTTAATTTTTTAAAAAATTTTATTTGAAAGCCAGAGTTACAGAGAGAGGTAGAGACGGACAGAGAAAGGTCTCCCATCCGATGGTTCACTCCCCAGATGGCTGCAAATGGCTGGAGCTGCAGTGATCCGAAGCCAGGAGCCAGGAGCTTCTTCCTGGTCTCCCACGCATGTGCAGGTGCCCAAGGACTTGGTTCATCTTCTACTGCTTTCCCAGGCCATAGCAGAGAGCTGGATGGAAAAAGGAGTAGCCAGGACTAGAACCGGTGCCCATATGGGATGCCAACACTTCAGGCCAGGGCTTTAACCCGCTGCGCCACAGCGCCAGCCCTGAGTCTTCTATTTAAAGATTCCCATAACCACTATATTCCTAAAGTTGTATCTATGTAAAAATACATTCATTAAGTAAAAATTTAAACAAAGATTTCTATAACAAATCTTGTAGTGAGCTTTTATAAAGAGAATTATCAGCCAGCAGTTATTTTGTGATAAACCAGTTTTTTAATATATGTTAGTGGAAAAGGACTATTGTTGGGAGAGGAGATGACCTTTTTGAGTGGAGATAATGTCTGCACAAAGCCAAATGTTTGTTACTCTAACTTCTGCATCACAATTAAATCCGGTTTTTTAAAAATAGTCAACTCAATCAAAACCCACTACGTCAGAATCGATTGCTTCTTTGAAGTCACAGTAACACTTAAATAGGATCCTGAGATAATAAGGAATCCAGGTATCCTTTAGACAGTCTTCTGCTGTCCTTTTCCCAATCAGAGGCTTCTGGATGTGTGGAATGACACCATCACTGGCAATAGTAGCCTTATTGAGAGAGTCCAGTTCTTCATCTCCATGAATAGCGAGTTGCAAGTGACGAGAGGTAATACGCCTTACCTTTGAGTCTTCTGTTGCATTTCCTGCCAGTTCAAGTACCTCTGCGGTGAGATACTCCTGAATGGCAGCACTGTACACAGCAGCAGTGGCACCCACAAGGTCATGGCTGGTCGTTGTAGATTGCAGGTGCGGGTGAACGCGCCCACCAGGAACTGCAAGCCCACTCTCTGCAAGCAGGAAACCGCCTTTGTCTTGGCCTTTCTGGAGTCCTTCCCTGTTGAGGTGGATTCATTCTGAGAGGAAGAGTGTGGTGGGGGCAAAAGGCACGGAGTCACCACACAGACACCAGGAGTCGGGTGAAAGCAGGCCAGAGGCGAGCAGCCTGCAGACTCGTTTATTTCAGTTGGTACAGCAGCTTAAATAGCCAAGGCAGCTAATCTGGTCAAGGGGCAGTCTATGCCCTAACCAATCACA